AGAAACGGTAATCAGTAGATGAACCTTTACTAAAATTGTACACAGAAAGAAAATGAAACTGCAAATTCCATTCTTCTGCCAATACTTCTCAAATTACGTGTTGTTTTTAAAATATGTTTATATCAAATTATAGCAATTTTATTTACGATTTGCATAGAAAAAAAATGGTACAGTAAAATATCTTTTTTCCTTAATGCTTCTCAATTTTATTTCCTTTTTCTTTTTTTATATCATTTACTCAACCTACGCAAAATTATCTTCCACAGTGGTTTATGTAAATGTATACTGTAATTTTAGCAAGTAGATGCCTTTTCTTAGTATGTGAACTATGACCTTCTACAGCTGTGAACCTTTTTGAATAAAATTAAATTTCAAATAACTGATATAATAAAGCAAGATCCTTTTAAAGTGAAAATAATATGATCCCGTTAACATAGAAACATTTTCTTTGTGTATATCACGATGTAAAAATATGCAGGACAATTCGTTAAATATGACTTGTGTTTAAATGAAACTGATCAATCATTGCCAAGAAAGTATGTTCAAATTACATACCTGCCAATATAATTTTATACTTTACTGAGAAATTAATTATCTGCCAATATACTTGAAATTAATATCACCCACTGTTTTTATTACTATTATTAGGAAATAAAGGCGTCAATTGGCAAAAAAGTTAAAAAAATAATCTTGCCCTATTACCTACTCAATAACAAAACAAATTCGTAGGTCATAATAAAAATTACAGATATCTACTTCTTAAAAAAAAAAACAAATACTTCCAGATAACCTAATTACATTAGTAATAAACATATCTAATCAAACATATGCAAACAATTATTATTATTACTACTAAAACCCAGCAGCCTCCCTACTGTATGTTTTTTTTCTAGTGCACTCTACACATATAAATAAGATAGAAGTGTCTAGTCAGTGATATCGAAATAACTGCTGTTTTAAGCTCATGATTATTTGCATAGGAGCCCACAGGATTCTTTTTTCTGGGGAGGCAAATAAATTTTTTTTGTTGTTTCATGTAAAAATTGATTTTATAAAAAGCTAACAAAACAAATATAGTAACATCTTTTAGGAACAAATTAAATTAAACAAAACCAAATAGATTTTTTTCTATAAAACGATATTTCATTATAAATTTTAGAGACTAAGTACCCTGCAGAAAAAAGTACGAATGTACAAAATATCAAAATCACAGGGGGAGGCATGGTCCCCGCACCTGTGGATATCTGTAGTTATTTGTAAACTATGAAGAGATAAGTGATCTTTAGTCAATTTTTTGTCTGTATAGGATAATGATTGAAACAATTGAACTGATTTCGATAAGACAATATCTACATAAGAAACAGACTGCCAGGAGAAACCTAGGCTGCTTTTTGTCTTTCTATCTATCTGTTTGTAAGAGTTAATCTTTTGAAACAGCTGAACAGACTTTCATGCTGATGAAGCAATGGGTAATAGTTAGTCAATAATAAATCAAATTACCTGTTATCACTCAGTTCAAGCTTTTTTAGGTTTGGTAGCTTTGGAAATCCTTTTAGAGATGTTAGACCTACATTTATAAGGCTTAAGGTTTCCAAACTTGAATACTCATCTGTCAAACCAACTATGCTTGTACTGCGACAATTATCTAAATTGAGTTCCTTAATCTGAAAAAAGGAGAGTATTAATTTTGTGTTGATAATTACACAAATAATGTTTAATTGCTTGCTAAAGTGAAGATGGTTGCTAAGAGGCCATTTTCTGTTTTAAAAAAATTGTGAATTATATAGGTTATTATGCTTAGCTTGCAGTCATTACACAAAAATAAAGCATAAAACATTATGAAACGTACCCTACATGATCTTTAGAAACCTTTATATGTTAGGAAAGCCTTTCTTTTAGTAAAGAGTTTTCTTATGAAATTAATTTAGAATCACCATTACAGCTGTTAGGAATAAGCTGAGTATAAAATGAATGATAAAGAATGCAAAATACGATTCTCTCATAAAAAATCCGGCATTTTAGATAAACTAATGCAATATTACTTCCGAAAAATAAAATTTGGAAGGCAGTGTGCAACAACAGATAGATGTTTATTTATTATATAGCTATCACAGCCATGACACTATATTTGAAATTCTGTGGATAAGATCGGTCGATTCCGCTAATTTTTTCCAGTTAAAACCTTTTAAATCCCGGTTATTTAGTAACTAATCTAAATGTTGTTTAGCGGCATAGCATCGATATTGCACTCTCGTTTACATAAGCGGTAGTCAAGTTGCATTTTATCCCGACAACAACCACATGTAGTATACTACCGAAATGTTACTAAACACAACGCATTACAAAACATACGTACTTCTGCCGCATTTCTTCCACGCTTTTCCAGTTCTATCCTCTTCTCCATATTTGTACACTTATCTTGACTCGATTTTAATGAATCAACACCCTCCAAAGAAATGTTATCTTTCAAAACTTATTTTGTAACCTACACTATAGCGTTCGAAGGTAGTTCAAGCCCGCGAACACAAAGACAGAGAAAGACATAGGTAGTACATTGATTAGCCGCTGTAAAACACTGGTTTGTGCGCATTACTTCCTAGGGGGGTACCGGCTTATATATCCGGGGCGCGAATTTTAAACCGAATTTGCCAAAAAGACCCACGAAATACGATATAACATTAATCTGCAAAATCGTTAGAAATAATTTTTTCTTCTGATTCTGCACTATCATTTATTTTTTTAATTACCATAGAAACTGCATATTGCAACCACAACTTTATTGCATAAATCAAATCGTGAGACTACAAAATTTTTTTTACTGTGATATTGCTATCAATAATTTATTAATGACGATTAAAAAAATTTAATCGGCATGTGTAAAATACGTTAAGATAAATAGCAAAGTTCAAAGTGAAACATCGTTGACTTCTGTAACACTTAAAAAATAAAGATATTAAAAAAAACATTTTAACTTAATAATTAATTACATTAAATTACAATTAAATTTTCTGTACCTCTGACAGTGTGTACAAAATTTCATGATTAGCACTTGAGTAGTTAAGGCGTGAAATCGACCTAATAAAACAAATTTTTCTTTATCTCTCTGGAGCAATTTTTTCCGGATAAAAGTTACCCTATCTGTTTTTCTGTACTCCTGACAATGTGTGATGATGTGTATAATAAATATTATATGAGAAAAAGAGATTTACAAATGTTTACTATTTTTTGTTTTAATTCTAAAATTAAAAAAATCTTGCGAGATATTGAAATTACAAAAAATAAGTATTTAACGCTTTACACTTTGGTCAGACGATTTTTGAATGAAATGATATCCAAAAATAAAAAACATTAATTCAAAGTAACGATTCATTTACACTCGCATGCTCTAAGACAGCGAAGAAGAAGTAATGTAAAGTGTAAATCAATACTACGAACTAAAGAAGAGAAAAAATCATCATCAACAATTTCTTTTTCTTTATTTCTCAATTCAAATCAATCTAATAACAGATATTAAAATTACAACAAAAAAAAAACCTTTGCAATAATATAATTCAAATATCATAACAACATTCCATAAATCTGTTAAATAAGATAAGACCTAAAACATACATTAAATAAGTAATAATAATAATAGCAATAGTAAATAGTATTAAACATAATAGCAATAATATATATATTTATTAACCAATCAGCTGCCCATATTAAAATAAAAAAAAAAAAACTATGTGAACAGCTTCATCTAATCGTTAAAAAGAAATACATACATTAAATTATTGTAGTTACTGTAATTAAATATTTAGTACATAGTAAAATGCCTTGAGTCATTTGACAATAATAATAATAATCATCATTATCAAATAGGGATGACAAACTTATTGAATGATGGAAGATCCTCGATTTTTTCAAAAGAAGCAGAAAATAGAGAAAAACAAAATAAAAATGGAAAAATAGCCAATAATAATAATAATAATACAATAATAAATAACTAATTACGTTCGCCACACATTACAAAAAAAATAAGTTACATATTGATTAAAAATATTAGGGAAACAGACGTAGGAGAAGACATGAATACCGAAGGGGGTAAGTATGTATGAGTTGTATGTGTTAAATACTACATCTTTCATTTATTATGTAGGAACCGATTTATACCCAAAAGTAAAAATGAATGTAAGTAATTGTGCACATGATGGGACCTCCTCTCGGATTGGGGAGAAAACAGGTGGAGAGGGTGGAGAAGAAACTGTAGAACACTAGATTTTTTTTTAATACACGTCACCTTGCGATTCTACCTAAAAACACTTTTTCACTGTTGTAGGTCATTTCGACTCCCTCCACTTATTTCATCACCAACCCTGCGCCTACCTTGGGTCATATATTGTAAGCAATTGTTGGGAGAGGGGCAGATCAATATACATATTTACCCGGCTATGACTTTCTTATTGAATTTTAAACATTTAAATGTGGCGTAGGTATTATTAATATTATAATTAGTAATGCGGTAATTAATGTATAATAACAATGATAATAAACTTATTTTATAATTTACATAGCCGTTAATCAATAATTGTAAATTATTAGAATGAGGAGTATATCTAAAAATACATTGTGATAGTTGAAAAAGTGAGTATGACTGACTTATCATCAAAA